TTATTTTAATAAATAAAAAAACTGTCAGTCATACAGATGAATGGCTACTTTGCAACTATTGCTTTAAGCAAGAGATAAAGAAAAGGCAGCTCACCGAGTGTTTCCAGCAGCAGGTAAAGCAGAGAGGACTGTGTGTTTTCTCCATAGGCTTCCAGATCCTGAAGGTTCCGGTACGCTCTGTCCTCCATGTCTTTTTCCTTTTGAAAACAGAATGCTTTAATACCACTGCCAGAGGACAGACAGACTGCATAATGTGCCTCACTGAATGACAGATTTCAGAGTAGAATTAGCCATGCATGTCTCTCAGACAGCTGTCAGAGTTAGTTATTTTAAAAACAGATTTGCATTAATTTCTTTAATGGTATAAATATATAATGAATAACTTACTCTTTCAGATACAATTCTCAACATCCACCTCCTTGTCAGTGTGTGTTTCCTTACCGCCTGTGAACACAAAGCAGTTAAATGTAATAAAAATAATAATTTCTTACAGTTATATAGTGCTTTTATGGACACTAAACGCGCTTTACACTTTGGGGGGAAATCTCCTCAACCACCACCAGTGTGCAGCATCCACCTGGATGATACTACAGCAGGCATATTGCGCCAGACAGCACACCTGCTGATTGGTGGAGAGGAGACAGAGTGATGAAGCCAATTATGATATGGGAATGGTTAGGATGGAATGAGGCCAGTGGGAAAATTTATCCTACTCTTTTTTTAAAGGACATCCTGGGGTTTTTAACGACCACTGAGAGTCAGGACCTCGATTTACCGTTGCACCCGAACGCTCACTGAGCAGTATACAATTCCCTTCAATATATTAGGGTGTTAGAACCCACACAGACTGCAGGTTGAGTGATCCCTGCTGGTCCCACTAACACCATTTCCTACAGCAACCAAGAATCCCGTGTGGTCTCCTATTCAGGTACTGACCGGGCACAGCGGAAGAGGATGTGAGAGTTGCAGAGAGCTAGCTACCGGCAGTATATCAGAGATCAATATTTTCAAGAATGTTCAGGTCCTTATAACACTTTAACAGTTTAGAAATTGGCTCAATGTATGGACAAGTTTTTATATTATGTTCATTCGTGCTGTACATAAAAATAAGAAAATTGCTGCACAGGTTTGAAACTGTGAGGGTATAAAAAAATTTTTTGGATCAATATATTTTTGTAAAGTTAATCAAGGCTGCATTTATTTGTTAAATATAAGTTAAACATTAATATCGTCAAATTTTTTTTACAGTTTAATACAATAAATTATATTTAAATCTATTATTAGTAATTAAATATATATTCCTGTAATGTCAAAGCTGAGTTGTCTCCAGTTTTAAGTGTCACATGATCTTTCCGAAATCATGATTTTATGAGAAGTTATGAAAAGAGTGAAACATGAAGAATAATAAGCCAGGGGTGGATTCCTAAAAGCAAGGTTAACGTACCATCTGCTAAACCCTGAACTCTGGGTTGATTAACCCTACTTACGCAAGGTATATTGGCTCCAGAATTTCCCCTGGGATTAAATTCCAACTCAGAGTATTCTAATCCTGAAAAGCGTGTCACAGCCCTTCTTTCTTCTTCTGTCGTTTAACGATGAGTCACACTCATAAAGATTATCACCACTTTACTAATTGATATCAAATTGATTCATTCATTCATTTTGTTTTCGGCTCAGTCCCTTTATTAATTTGGGGTCGCCACGGCGGAATGAACCGTCAACTTATCCAGCATATGTTTTTACACAGCGGATGCCCTTCCAGCCGTAACCCATCTCTGGGAAACATCCATACACACTCATTCACACTCATACACTACGTACAATTTAGCATTCAGCATAGCGGATTTATCTTCATCTTAAATCATTCATTCATTTTCTTTTCGGCTTAGTCCCTTTATTAATCTGGGGTCGTCCCAGCGAAATGAACCGCCAATTTATCCAGCATGTGTTTTACTCAGCGGATGCCCTACCAGCCGCAACCCATCTCTGGGAAACATCCATACACACTCATACACTACGGACAATTTAGCCTACCCAATTCACCTGTACCGCATGTCTTTGGACTGTGGGGGAAACCGGAGCGCCCGCAGGAAACCCACGCAAATGCAGGGAGAACATGCAAACTCCACACAGAAATGTCATCTTTATAAAACATTATTTTATAATAGTGTTTTATTGCAAATTTATATTAAATATAAAAAAATATATTAAGAAATACACACATTTATAGCTCCAGAGCTGGTTATGTTTGAGTTGCAAATTAGTTTCTATGGTAACATATACACCCTGAAAGCTACCTCAGTTTTTGAATCTGAAAGCTGAGGTTATTCACTTGCACACCATTAAAAATGTATCCAGGTATTTCGCATAACCTGTTTTCTGCGATACCCCCATAGCTTTTATAATGAGGCACGTTAAGTATATAAATTGTGAAAAGCCCTTTTCTTTTATAAAGAAGAGTGAAGACTCACCCTCCACAGTTCTGCACTGACAGGCTGTGCTGGAGGGTCATCTCTGTAAATATCCTCCACGGCACTCTTCCAGAATTGCATTCGCATCAAACCAATAGTTTTGTGAGAAACGGAGTCTTTGATCTAAAAGAAAATAAGCAATGTTAAAGCAAATACAGATGCTTCAACAGTGCATGCACAATTAAAACTTAAAATAAAAGAGTCTGTGCATTATTGCACTCATTAGCTGGAATACCTGCCTGTGCCAGTTCTACATTAAATGCCCTCAGTGCCAGTGCAGAGCGACGAGCAGCTTCAGGAAGAAGCAGTGAACACAAAAACCCCTCATAGTCTTTCTTCCTATGAGTGAAAGTAAGATGTCAGTCCCCTTAAAACCAGCATAAACCATTATTTTATATTCGTATCCCATTAATGGGCTTTGTGATAGAAGAGTTTATCTTTTGTGAGTAACAAATTACAAACACTCAAACTGCTGTAATCAAGTAGTTTTTCTCAAAAATTGTACTTTACTAAGTAGTTTTAAAAATGTCTACTTTAACTTTCCCTTAAGTACATTTTTAGTGCTGTATTGATACTGTACTCCACTATTTTCCTCCAACCTGCAGTCACTACTTTCATTATTTTCTTGTCTATGATGATTGACGAAGTAGATTCCAGTTCAATCAAATTGCATTACACTCGAGTCTGTTTAGACTGCATGTCACTGATGAGATGATGACGGATGCTTACTGTATGATGACTGAAATGGACTTAAATAACTAAATGCACTACAGAATGTTTTCAGACACAAAATGCATGTAAACACATCAATCTTTCAAAGTGTAATGCTCACTACTCTTGAGTTCTTTTAAAAGGGCTGCTTTTTACTCATACTTTGAGTAATATTTACAACAGAAACTTTTACTCTACTAACACTAAATTTTTGAGTAAGTAATAGCACTTTTGCTGGATTATGATTTTCAGTACTGATAATCTTTGATTGTCATAAAAGATTATCAAATAAACTTGCTGTGTGTGGCATCAGAAGCACAACTTAACAACAAAAAATGTATTAAAAAATGACTGGTGTGCCTGTTAAAGGGCTAATATGTTTCATATATATATATATATATATATATATATATATATATATATATATATATATATATATATATATATATATATATATATATACACATACATATACATACACATACACATACACACACGCACATATATATATGTCAAGTGCTGCACCCATTAAAAACAATAATGAAAATAACTAGTGTGGAACTTTCTGACACACTATAGTTGACAAAAGACACATTCTTTAAAACAAGGTCTAATTATTTCAAGCAATAAGATCAAGTAATAATGAATAACACATTTTAAAGTATTTCATAACCTGTCAAAAAGCTTTCAAACTATTTAATTTATTTAAGCTCAATATATTTTTTTATATATTATTTCATAGATATTTCAATCTCTGGACTAGGGCTGGGCTGATAAACAATATTATATCAAATCGTGATAATATTTATGTTGATAACAATGATAGCTCTGGACTTTCTCACTTTATATTGCTTTAAGAACTAAAATGTGATATTAGAGATGTACCAAATTTTTCGACCACAGAAAATTTATCGGCTGAAAGTATGTTAATTTTTGTGGCTTCAGTCATTGTTGAGATACTCGTATAAATCTGGGAGCATTAACAACTTATATCGAAATATATATCGATACTGTTCAATATGGAAAATAATTATCAAGATTGCATTTTTGCCATATCGCCCAGCCCTACAGTTTGTTCTTGTTCTGTACAGTTACATCTTAATTTTAGCCACAGGAAAAAGTAATTAGTGTATATGTTGTCTTTTAAATTATTTTAACTAAATTATATACATATTATATACTTTTTAAATATACATTCAGTTTAATATTATTCTGGTTTTCTGGGATATTGTCTTTAGGTTTAACCCTTACTGTTTTGCCTAAAATTGCAGATCTGTTTGCTTCCATGTAAAACTATATCAAGCAAATGAACCTTTTAACTCAAAACTTACCTTACTATGTCAATACAGTACTGTTCATTGTGCTGTCGTGTCGAGTTTGTAACAGCTCTTGTGCATTTGATCTCTGTTTGCCTCTGTAGACAACGGGGATTGGGAATATTTACATGGAGCGACTTTTTGGTGGTAAATAATCCATTCTTTATGCTGATGCTGGATGCCATAGCACAGCTCATGCATCCAGTATCCTTGAGCTGTACCTCCTCTCGCGTGTGCGTCAAATAACAGCTCCTCTGTATTCAAGGAACGCCGACAGTCCGTTCCGTTTCCATGTAAACAATCGGTTTCCATCCGAACCGAATTAAGATCCGTTTCTGAGAAAGATTTATTATTTTTTTTCCACATAAGACGTGATTATTGCTCATTAGAATGCGATATATAAATAATAACGTGTTTTTTAAACAAGTAAATGATTGACAGTTAAATCACGTGGTTCTCATCATATGACCAGCACACATTCAAGTCCCTTCATTGAGGAGAACGGAAATAGTCGGGACAGTAACTTATTTCATTTGAATGTTTTGTATATATGTCTTATGGCAAAGTGCTTCGTGTATTTCGATCTGTTTTTCCTGTTTCTAGCATGTCTTGGAGTGTGTTTGTGCCAGTGCAAAGATATCCGGTAAGGATTTGTGTTATGTTGCGCAACAATAATGATAAAAAATTATTAAGTTGTACAATATTTTCATATTAAGAAGAAGAATATGAAAACTGTTGTATATATTTTTTATTACTAACTTATTTGCAAATCTCTTGCAATTAACTATCTGAATGATTCTGAAGGACTTAATGTTTCAGTTTCATTATCGCCCAGTCTTTGTCTAAATGTTGTAAGGATAATATACATGACATGACATGTATGTTTGAAATGTAATTCATAACATTTTTATAACATTTAACATTATAATGTTTTTACTTTGTAATGTATCACAAAAATTAGGCTGATCTTAGTGACAAAGAACAAGCAGCAATCATGCTTTGGCCAATTATCAGGCCTACAAAATATTTTTGCTGAAAATCTAGACTTAACCTTTTCTAAACTACTTGTAATGTTGAAATGAATTAATCAAATAATTCAGTCTTTAAAATTAAATTACATTAAAACTGTATTAAAATAAAAGTTGTATATTTTTAATATGACAAGTTTTTTGATTAATGTTGTGATAGGGTAGACTCAAGGGTGTGTAAACAGCAAACAAAACAAACAAATAAATAATATTTAAAATACAGGGTGATTCAAAAAGAATACCACGACTTTGAAAATCTGTATTTAACCAAAGAAACATGCTAAAACCTTGGGTAGTTAATCAATGTGTAGAGTAACTAAAGTTTTTTTTTTTTCCCATAAAGTTTATAGATGTTCAATATGACCTCCTCCAGACACCCGAGTGACATCAACCCAAAAGTTGTGGTATTCATATATATATATATATATATATATATATATATATATATATATATATATATATATATATATATATATATATATATATATATATACATATTTATTTATTTATTTATAAAAAATTTTATTTTCTTAAAGCAACACAACAATATACAATTGCAACAACAATTATAAAGACAAAAAAAGAAAAGCAAAAAAAATATATATAAAAAACCATTATTACATCAGTTCCTCTAGTATTATTAGTATTATACATGGGTCAACAATGTTACACATATATATCTGGGCCAGTGGGCACAGGCAACATGGTGATCTTGCAGACGATGACAGGGTTATAACTTTAAACTGTTATCCTGGGCATTTAACAAATAATTTAATAAGGGTTTCCAGGTGGCTTCAAAGTGGGCAATGCTATCAGATAGATTGTGTCTTAGTCTCTCCAAATGTAAAGTGCTAGAAAATTCTGAAAGCCAGGATTTACCAAGTGGTTTTAATGCCTTTTCCCATAAATAAAGAATAATTTTGTATTTATAATTTCCATATTGGACAGCTTTTTTAATTTGATGACTGAACCCACGAAGTGTGTCAGACAAACCAAAAACAGTGATGGCTGGATCAGGGGCGAGGTCACAAGAGTAAGTCTCAGAGTAGAAGTTGAAAATTTCGCTTCAAAACTCAAAATGTTTTTGGCTTGACCGAAAAAAGATGTCCTAGGGAGCTTTACGCAGATTCACAATTGTTACATTTAGAGGAGATGGAGGGGTAGAATTTATTAAGCTTTACCCTAGAATAATGAAGCCGATGTACCACTTTAAATTGGATTAGCTGGTGCCTTGAGCATGTATTTATGACCTTGATAGACTTTTCCCAGTCATCATTAGTAATTTGAATGCCTGTATATATATTTTTAATATATGTTTTATAATAATAATAATTATTATTATTATTTTTATAGATTTTGTCATTTACTTGATGCAGCTAGTGGCACAGGAAACTGACTGGAAAGGAATATCAATGTTAATTAGCATGCAGAAAATGATATAAACATAGTATAAACCACTATCTTTATTGTTGTGTTAATGTTTTATTAATAATACATTTATAATAATTACATAATAATAATACATTTTATTTATATTGCACTTTTCTCAAACTCAAAGCTTTTCCTTTAGTGGATAGATATATGTTGATAGAGAGATATTTACATATTTTAAATCCTGCATATGTATGTAAATGTTTGTTCTTATGCAGTGCTTGGCATAATTGAGTACACACCATGTTGGAAATTAATAATTTTATCCATTTCTCAGTGAATATAGGCAATGTATTTTGGTGCATTTAAACAAAACAGATTTATTAAACAGATCTATTTATTAAAATAATATTTTAGTCCACAAACATATTTAGAAATTGCAATATAATACAATTTAATTCAAGCAAAATATTGCAAAAATAAATATAACCTACAAAATTTACTTTTTTTACTTCTCTTAATTTTTTCCTCTTTTAATTTGTATTTAATATTTTTTCTATAGCATATACATTTAGGTGTACTAGTTTTTGGACTGTTATCGTAAGATATTTTGTTAGATAAGCTCCAGATTTCGCTTCAGTACTGATTAATTTAATGTATATGCACAAATATATTATTGTATAGCTTCTTATTAAAAATATGAATTCAAAAGATAGATTTGTGAGGGGTGTACTCATATATGCTGAGCACTGTAGGTCAGATTTTTAAGCATCAATCAATAATTTTCATATTTTTAAAGAAATGTTTAACAACAGCATCCCCTGCTGTCTGTTTCTAAACTTGTGGCAGAAGAGTGGAGACTAATTTGCAAATCAGTAATTAGTTTTGTTTGCTTAACTTAAAAAGCACCGTTTGTTTAACTAAAGTTATGTTTTCATCGGGTTCCTTTGCATACAAGCACTTGCACTTCACTTCAACTGAATCTACAGTGAGTTTGCATCCTGCATTTGCATGGCGTAAGAGGATCTCAAAAACCACACACTGAACCCATGCTTGCATAAGCATTGCACAACTGAACATCTGCTGCTCCTCAATTGATTTGTACACTATTCTCAGATAATATTATCTGAGGTTTAGACTGAGAAATATGCAAAACAGCAGGTGTCTTTCAAATGTGCTCGTGCTGCAGAAATCAACCTCGAATTTGACTTAATTCCTAAAGAAAATTCACGTCACAGTAGAGCATACATCATTTAAATACAATACAAAAAATTGCACTTCATACAGTATCCATTAGTTTTTAAGCATCAAATAATTTTCAGTAAGCCAGCTCAAACGCTTCTTTACTAATACAAAATCGCTCTCGTTTAATCGTTTAAGATCCGGTTTCTTTAAAAATCAATGATCTTTATAACATGATTGATACGCAATATAAAGCGAATCTCAGACTGGACAAGAAGCACTGAATTAAATTAACTTTCGTTGTTCTGCACCATGTCTTTTAAATATTGAAATGTATTTTACCACTAAATTTTTAATGGAGTTCCAGCACTCGCCTGCTGTTCCTGACGGCGCTTGCGCTTTTCGTTTGAACACTTGAACAAACCAAATAAATGCTTAAGTCTATTTAACTGATTCTATTTTAATTAAAATACATTATCGGTGCTGTAAAAGGACCCATGTGAATTTAAAAAATAGTTACACTAACCATTCACCAGTTTATCAGTGGATGAAAAACCTTTGCTGTGCATAAAACAAAAATAAAAAAAATCTATAATTTCATATTATGCAACAGATACTTTACTTTATATTTGATACTATATTTTAATGTATATCGTCATCAGGATATAAGATAATTTATATTGTGATGTGAGATTTTCGCCCTAGTCCATTTACAATTCTAATGGTTCCCTGGCCTATAACTCCGGGGCTGAATAAATCTTGAGCTGAAAGAGCAAATATGATTCACCATATTGACTATTGTCAATCATTCTATCTTGTGTTATCTCTTCTATAGTGAGTAACACACATGACAAAACCGAGGAAAAAGCACAAGATTAAAAAAGATGGCTTGACAAATTAGTCAATATCATTATGTGCTTGGGGCAGTTGCAACAAGACTTATTCCTTTATTCGGGAATCAGCTAGAGTGATGATATTCATACTACATATTCTCAGTTAAAACCTAAAAGTAATTGGTCATAGGTAGGCCCACAGGAAATCTGCGTGCGCAGAATTCCGCAGATTTCCACAGATTTTTAGTCCATCATTAACTCTGTTTTTTTACTTGAGTAACTGTATGTAACTTTATATTTATTCGGTTTTTAAAAAGATAGTATTTTTGTTTCACTTATTAAGGTTTAGTTATGATACCAAAATAATTCTGCAGAAATCCACAGATGTTTACCAAAATTCTCAGCAGAAATAGCAAAAAACGACTGCAGATTCCATTGGGCCCTAGTCATAGGTGACCAACTTTAGGAAAGAAAAGGTATTTTTTAATGTTTAGGGAAAAAGAAACATTCAAAAATCATTATTTATTTGTATAATTTAAATAACTGTTTTCTAAGCTTCAAAAAGGTGAAGCAATCAAGTGTTAAAGCTAATGTATCTACCTAACATATAGTTTAATCATGGTTGACAGAGTTGTTACAGTTGCAGCATGCTTACCCTTATCACAATATTGATTTAAAAGCTTGTCATATTAATGATGTACAATTTGTATTTTAATACAGTTGTCATTTAATTTTAAAGATTTATTATTGGGTTAATTCATTTCATCATTACAAGTAGTTTAGTCAAGGTTCAGTCTAGATATTCAGTAAAAATATTTTTCAGATTTTTTTGTAGGCCTGATTAATGACCAAAATTTGGTTGTTGCTTGTTCTTGTACATGTCTGCATTTATATGGCCAATTTAACAAATATAACCATTTTACATTTAGTCCTTTTACCTACATGAAAAATGTTGTTATTACATTTTGATAAAGGTTGCAACTGTCCCTGTGTGTTATTGCAACCATCCCCTGGCTCAGGGGCAGTTTCAATATTTGACTTTGTCTGTTCAGGTTTAAGTTTTGCATATATTATCATATGTACACATATTATAGCAATATGGGTGGCTGTCTGATAGATGTGGGTTTATTATATAAAAAAGATTTTGTGAACCGCCATCTTATCCATCATAAGTTTTACGCAGCGAATGCCCTTTCAGCTGCAATTCACCGACCATTGAACTGTCCCCACCAATAATTTAATCCACTTAAAAAAAAAATAAAAATTTCATTTTCAACATTAACCTAGACTTTCAGAAAGGGTTCAATCACGTTCTCTCCTTGAGTCCTCCCGCCCCAAAACACATATGAACATTTTGATTGGCTGTGCCAATCAATAAGGTGGTCATAAGGAGCTTTTTTTTCAACGAAAGTTTAAGTCACAAAACACAAGTTCACCACTGAATGAGTCCATCATGATAATGCCGTTAATGCTAGTGCTTTCCTTCGCTTTAATGCATAGTCTAACATTATAGCGGACTGATATAGGCTAGTCTGTGAAAACTAACTGCAGAATAAACAATTAAAGTATATGATTCAGTTCTCATAATCTGTAATATGTACAATTTCGTTGAAACAGTTTGTCAGACAAAATACAGCATGTGTATAGTAAAGGCATAATACTGATATATGAGACGTGTTGTATTTGCACTATTATTAAACTATCAGTCAATAAACATTATTTTAACATTACACTATCAGGCCTGTAGCAGCTTATTGAAAGGTTGGCTATTTGTTTTCTGAAAAACTGAACCTTTTTGCAGTTATTTGCCTGATTTCTATGTAATTATGAGGTATAAATATTGCATATTTATATTAGTGACATTTTAAGAACTCATTTTTGCTGTAATATCTTGTTGGATGGTTACCATAACCACACTTTTTGATGTAACAAAAAATATTTCCAACCATTTTGTCAAATTGCTTATCACACTATTTTACTATTTTCAGTGTTTATTTACAAATGTGCATATAAACAGTTTTGATAATAAAATAAAATAATAAAAAATATGAAAAGATTCTTATTTTTAAAATACACATTTATAATCATCTATCCTTACATTTTTAGAAATCTGTTAAAACTTGTTTTAAATGAAACACTGAAGCCTACAGGCAAATAACAAACTGGCCAGTACATTAAGCTTTCCTCGGTCAGAATGTAGCCATTTGAATAATACGAAAAAATAATAATTATAATTATATAATTAATAATAATTATTCAACTTTTGGTCTTTCGAACCACCAGAACCCCGTCTTGGCTAGGGACCTGAAACGTAATAAATTGTATGAAGAGAGGATTAATTAATATATTTTAAGCAATTAAATAAATAATTGTGTGTGTGTGTACACACAGGGTGGGCCATTTATATGAATACACCTTAATAAAATGGGAATGTTGGTGATATTATAGTCCTGTTTGTGGCACATTAGTATATGTGAGGGGGCTTGTAAATAACTCATGAAAGAATAAAGTTACATTAAAACCAAGCACAACATTGTTTTTCTTTTGAAATTTCCAATAAGTTCATTAAGGTGTATCCATATAAATGGCCCACCCTGTATATACACACACACATGTTTGTTTTTGTGAAAAGTGGGGACATTACACAGGTTTCCATTCATTTTATACGGTCCAAACCGTATATTGTATTGCCCTCACCCCACCCTACCCCTAAACCCAACCATCACAGGAGACTGTGTGCAGCTTTACTCTCTGATTAAACTCATCCTGTGTGATTTATAAGCTTTTTGAGAAATGAGGACGTCACCAATGTCCTCATATTTCACCTCCTTTTTGTAATACCTGTCATACCTATGTCATTATACAGATTTGTGTCCTGATATGTCACAAAAAAAGTACACACACACACACACACGTACACACCCATGCTCAATTCCCCCATCCCCGCCAATATCAATTGCAAACCTACGCACTTGGTTTATTCAATTTCCCTATAGCACATGCCTTTGGACTGTGGGGGAAACTGGAGCACTCATAGAAAAAAACCATATGAAAATGGGGAGAACATGCAAACTCCACACAGAAATGCCAACTGACCCAGCCGAGACTTTGAAACAGCGACATTCTTGCTGTGAGTGCCAACCACTGAGCCACCATGTCGCCATGCCATGAGCATAGATTGTTCTTGAAACAGTTTTTGTCTTCATAGCTTTGCATTGCCGGCAGCTAGCTCTCTGCATCTCTCACATGGTCGCCCATTGAAGCTAAGCAGGGCTGCACCTGGTCAGTACCTGGATAGGAGACTACATGGAAATGCTAGGTTGCTGCTGGAAGTGGTATTAGTGAGGCCAGCAGGAGGCGCTCAACCTGTGGTCTGTGTGGTTCCTAATGCCCCAGTATTTATTCAGTACCTTATTCTCAGCTGACGAGCGGGCGCTGCCATTTGAATCTTTTTGTCTCGCGACTTCCGGTCACATTCACTTCCATTCATTTTTTGACGTTAACAACTGCTCGTTACGCTTCTTGATGTTGCAATTTAATATTTTCTTATTATATTATGCTACTTGGTCTTTGTAGTCATGCAAACATTTGTTTGTTGAGCAAGTAGTTTGGCCATTTTCTGCCGTTTATTATTCCTAGTCATTTCTCCCATAGCCGACTGAATCGGAAGTTCTAAGACAATCGCGAAAACAGCCGCACTTCCGCATTTTAGAATAAAGTCAATAGTGACGGGGACTCTATACTGCTCAGTTGGCGCCGTCTTTCGGACGAGACGTTAAACCGAGGTCCCGACTCTCTGTGGTCGTTAAAAATCCCAGAATGTCCTTCGAAAAAGAGTAGGGGTTTAACTTCGGCATCCTGGCCAAATCTACCTACTAGCCTCTGTCCATCATGGCCTCCTAACCCTCCCCATATCATAATGTCTCCTCTTCACCAATCAGCTGGTGTTTGGTGCGGTCTGGTGCAAAATGGCTGCCGTCGTGTCATCCAGGTGGATGCTGCACACTAGTGGTGGATTAGGATATTCCTTCCCCATTGTGCAAAGCGCTTTGAGTGCCCAGAAAAGCACTATATAAATGTAAGGAATTATTATTATTATAGCTGCTCTTTTTAATCGGCCATTTCAATGTTACATTCAGTGCTTGTTCATGCTGAATATAACTTTGTTAATAAAATCAATAATTGGGAGTTCTGTACATGGAATAAATGGAATCCAGTCATAAACAAAAAAATAGAAACTCCAATTCTGGTTAAAACCTAAAGTTGTAAATATAAATTTGCTTAGCTGAAAAATCAGGGAAAAAATTAAGTCAATATAATAATTTGGGATTGCATCGTGACTCAAATGTTTAAGTCGCTAAAAAGATTCCCACCACTTCTACACATTCTCCAATTTCACCTAACTAGCTTAACACAATTCGTTCATTATTCCTCTGATTTAATCATGTTAATTTTCCTCATTTTCTTGGCAGACATTCCTCGGATGACGACCTCTTGTTACCCTACACCAAATCCCACGGTCCATCTCATTCCCACCGCTACGTGAGGGACTGCCAGCCTGTCGCCCACGGCACTGTAACCCATGAAACCCAGGCAGCAAGCAAACACTCCAACTCGCCAGTGTTGGAGTCGAATATATTCATCTCGGACATCACAGACGACTCTGGCACTCACAGATGGGTGAGCGGGCACATCACAGAGGTGCACGACCCACTAAGATCAGTGTCGGTTCTTGAACCAGGAGGCCCTGGAGGATGCGCGCACAATCACAGAGAGCTGGTGGAGGTCACTGCCAAAACTAGAAAGTGCCTGGTTGCCCAGAACGGAGGTTACTTTGACACTCATACCGGACAGTGTTTAGGGAATATCATAAGTGATGGGAAACTGGTGAGGAACAGCGGAGGAATTCAAAACGCTCAGTTTGGCATCAGAAAAGATGGGACACTGGTGTTTGGGTAAGCACGCAGCCCACAGTCTCTCTCTCTCTGCAGTCTTTCCCTCAGGCCCTCGTGATGTTTTGCATTACCACAGGGTTTGTTTTTGTGTGGAGAGCCAATAACAATACAAAATTGAGCTAGTCTTTCCTGGTCGGGAGCTGGTGTACTTTTGACCTCCCTAAAATGAGTTGAGCTTTTCTATCTGTAGTGCACACTTAAAAGGATAATTTAACCAAAAATTAATACATTTAAATGAATTTACTCACCACCCTGACATGAGTTTGCTTCATCAGTAGAATATTAAGCAAGGCAAGTTTATTTATATAGCACATTTCATATACAATGATAATTCAAAGTGCTTTACATAAACAAGAATAAAAGAAACGAGTATAAAACAATAATAAAACAACAGTAGAGATAAAAAAAAATATTAAAAAGTGTTAAAACATGTTTTAAAGGAACGAAAAAGTAAAGAAAGACACTATAGTGCGATCTGTCGGATGTAGCACAGTGCTCATTCAGTATAGGCACAGCTAAACAGATGTGTTTTCAGTCTTAATTTGAATGTGCCTAATGTTGCAGCACATCTGATCATTTCTGAAAGCTGATTCCAGCAGTTTGGGATGTCGTAGCTGAAGGCAGATTCACACTGCTTTGACTGAACTCTTGGAATTTCTAAATTACTTGATCCTAAAGATCTGAGTGATCTGTAATGTATTGAGTTCCTAGGCCATTTAGTGATTTATAGACGCGTAATAACACTTTAAAATCTATTCTGGATGTAACTGGGAGCCAGTGTAAAGACCTGAGGATAGGTGTAATGTGTTCTGATTTCCTGATCAGAATCCTGACAGAAGTGTTCTGGATTTAAAGAAATTCTTAGATGAAAACTGTTCTTGGTTATTTTTAAAGTTTATTTGGAACTTTGAGAGTTGGAAAACGTATACAGTCAACACATATTTAATGCCCATGGCTCTGGAGTTTTGACTATACTTTAAGGTCTTTTGAAGCAAAACATTATTACCTGGTATTGACACCCTTGGCAATCATCCTGAGTACATTCACATCTGTCAAGATTGCAACTTTCTTGATGTGTAATGACATGTTGAATGAAACAAGTGAGTCAAAAATTCATTGACAAAGACAGAACTATGCTGCCACCTGCTGGTTTTAGTAAGATGAAATAAAATCAACTTAATGTAAATGTTTTTTTTAAAAATGACAAAATATTGGACATTTAAGGTTAGAAAATAAATAATATTTAGAAAAGGCTATGGAAATAAATTAAAATCATACATTCACCGGCCACTTTATTAGGTACACCTTACTGGTACTGGGTTGGACCCCCTTGTGCCTTCAGAACTGCTTTAATTCTTTGAGGCATAGATTCAACAAGATACTCAAAATATTTCTCAGATATTTTGGTCCAAATTGACATGATTGCTTCACACAGTTGCTGCTGATTTGTCTGCTGCACATCCATGATGCGAATCTCCCGTTCCCCCACATCCCAATGGTGCTCTATTGGATTGAGTCTGGTGACTGTGGAGGCCATTCGAGTACAGTGAACTCATTGTCATGTTCAAGAAACCAGTCTGAGATGATTTGTGCTTTATGACATGGCGCGTTATCCTGCTGGAGGTAGCCATTAGAAGATAGGTACACTGTGGTCATAAAGGGATGGACATGGTCAGCAACAATACTCAGGTAGGCTGTGGTGTTGACACGATGCTTAGTTGGTACTAATGGGCTCAAAGTGTGCTAAGAAAATATCCCCCACACCATTACACCACCACCAGCAGCCTGAACCGTTGATACAAGGCAGGATGGATTCATGCTTTGAATGTCCGAATGAGCCTGTGTGAATTATAGCCTTAGTTTCATGTTCTTAGCTGACAGGAGTGGCATGCGGTGTGATTTTCTGCTGCTGTACCTATCCGCCTTAAGGTTGGACGTTTTGTGCATTTAGAGATGCTCTTCTGCACACCTCGGTTGTAACGAGTGATTATTTGAGTTACTGTTGCCTTTCTATCTGCTATCAGCATCAACGAGGCATTTGCACACACAGAACTGCCTCTCACTGGATATTTTCTCCTTTTCGGAGCATTCTCTGTAAACCCTTGAGATAGATTGTGCATGAAAATCCCAGAAGATCAGCAGTTTCTGAAATACTCAGACCAGCCCATCTGGCACCAACAACCATGCCACGTTCAAAGTCACTTAAATCACCTTTCTTCCCCATTTTGATGCTCGGTTTGATCTGCAGCAGATCATGCTTAAATGCATTGAGTTGCTGCCATGTGATTAGCTGATTAGAAATTTGCGTTAACGAGCAGTTGGACAGGTGTATCTAATAAAGTGGCCAGTGAGTGTATATTGCTTAGTTCACCCAAAAGTGAAAATGTACTCACCTTTATTCTGTTAAAGACAAGAGAAGATATTTTGAAGAAAGCTGAAAACCAATAACCATTGGCTTCCATAGTAAGCAAAAAACAAATACTCTGGAAGTTGATGGTTTCCAGTTTTCTATGATGTATCTTCTATTGGGACTATCTTTTATTGAGTTTTGGGTTTAATAGAACTTTTGAATTTAATAGCATCAAAAAGCTAAACAACAATACATTTCATATTATTTTAATATACGTTCTGTAGTTTTATGTGTTGCTTTCATTATAGTGTGATCCTTTTATTGTCCATACATTTATCAAACAAAATGTAACATTACAATTTAAAACTTAAAATGAAGTTAACCGTAAAATTATGAAGTCTACTGTAGTAAAATTAGACAAAAGAATGTATACAAAAGTCCCCTGAAAGTGATTAAAATAGCATGATATGTCCATATTCTATATTTAATCTGTGAAACACAAAGGAAGATGTTTAGTAGAATGTGTGTTCATTTGTAAAATATGTTAGCATTAGCATACATTCGTAAACACACAGACGTTTCCTCCACTGCAGGCTACTGTGTCAAACCTCAATGTAAATACGGGTGCAGAGTTTGGAGGAAGTCGTGGGAACGTAGGGCCCTTAGAACATCTGTTTCCTAAAATAGAAACCTTACAAAAACACAGCAAAATTGCATAACGCACCAGTGCCCTTAATAATAGGCAGTACTTTGGAACTACATGTACCCGGGGTGTCTCAGTCTGTCATTCATTATGACGCTAAAGGTCTTTAACCGCAATGTTCTAGTGTAAGATAAGGTGTTTGTTTGGAAAATTTGGACATTCGTGTGGATGAGCTTAAAGGAATGCAAAACAGAGTCATAAAATATGAAATGGTTCATGTGGCCTGCCAGGAAAACAATGGGTTATTTACTGTGTGTGAAGTTTTTGCTGACAAAAGAATTAAAATATAGTTTTTATAGTTAATATAAGGACAGAACTTCTGGATAAGCGTGTTGTTAAAAGGATAGTTTACTCTATAATGAAAATGTACTCACTATTTAATCAGCCTTAAGGGGGTTTCTAAATCTTTATGAGTTTATTTTTTCCGTTAAATATAAAATAAGATATTTTGAAGAAAGCTGGAAACCTGTAATCATTGACATGCATAGTAGGAAAAACCAATACCATATGGAAGTCAATGGTTATCCATTCCAGCGTCATTCAAAATACAATTTAGTGTTCAGGAGAAATAAACTTAGACAGGTTTGTGATGACAATTTAAAGAACACTAAATGCTAAAAAATGTTCCCTTTTATGTGAACTATCCCTTTAAAAGATAAAAATGTTATGGATTTAAGTACCTGTTAGCTTCAAACACATAAGCAAAACTAATGATATAACGTTTATATACACATTTACATTTACTCTGTTCAAATAGTTGTATTTTTAAATCAAATGCTTGTCACCTTACAATGAAATAACGTCAGGCTAGCTGTAATGAGATCAAACGCAAGGTCTGTGTGCATTTGGTTATGCTAATATTTATACTTTACTGTTCTTCCAGACAATTATTGCCTTTTCAAATCATTTTGTAAAGGAAGTACCTGGAATTTATTAGTTTTGAAAATGCCTTTATTGCTTTTGTCCATAGTGCAGTCTGTCAGGTGTTGTTTTGCTGGGCTGTAGTGTGATGTTCAGTGCTGTTAAAGGGGTAGTACAACAAATATGTTAGAAATGTTGAAAACCTGAAAGCATTCACTTCCATGGTAGGTAAAACAAATCCTATGGAAGTCAATGATTACATGTTTTCAAAATTATTCACAGTATCTTTTTTTAATATTGTTTAAATGATTTTAATAATTAAACATTTTGGGTGAACTTTCCCTTTAACAACTTTGCATTTTGTAAGACTTGTTTCAGTTAAATAATTCATTTTAAAGGAAATTAATGCTTTTATTCTATTATTAACCGCCAGATATTTACAATGTCCAATTTCTATTCCAAATACATGATGTTATTTTGATGCTTCTGTTCATCAATGAACCCTTAAAAATGTTTCATAAGTTAAGTTTAAGCTTGCAGTTTGTAAGGTTTTTTTATTATATAATTTATTATTAAAGAAATTAATACTTTTAATAACACTTTACATTTATGAATAGTGCCAAACATTTACAATGTTAAAAAATATTTCCATTTTGATTGTTTTAATTAAAAAAAACTTTAATATATATATATATATATATATATATATATATATATATATATATATATATATATATATATATATATAGTTGAAGTCAGAATTATTAGCCCCCCTGTTTATTTTTTTTCTCCAGTTCCTGTTTAATGGAGAGATTTTTTTCAACACTTTTTCAAACGTAATAGTTTTAATAACTAATTTTTAATAACTGATTTATTTCATCTTTGCCGTGATGACAGTAAATAATGTTTTACTAGATATAATAGCTTAAAGGGGCTAATGATTATGATCTTTAAAATTATTTAAAAATCTTTAAAAATATTCTTCATAAAATCCAAAACTGATTTTATTCTAGCCGAAATAAAACAAATAGAGAAAGACTTTCTCCAGAAGAAAAAATATTATCAGACATACTGTCAAAATTCCCTTGCTCTGGTAAACCTCATTTGAGCAAGATTTAAGAAAACAAAATTTAAAGCGGAGCTAATTATTCTGTCTTTAACTATACTGTATATAAAAATGCAAATAAATGAATAAATCCACAAATCCCTGCATAAATAAAACAATAAAGTAATAATTATGCAAATAAATAAATAAATGTATATATACATACATATATATATATATATATATATATATATATATATATATATATATATATATATATATATATATATATATATATATATATATATATATACATACAAATTCCTGCATAAATAAATATATAAATGTTAAAAAATAAAAATAATTATTTAATCGCACTAATAGTTATTTATATATTTATTTATGCAGGAATTTGTAGATTTATATACATTTGCATATTTATTACTTTATTGTTTTATTTATGCAGAGATTTGTGGATTTATTTATTCATTTGTATTTTTATTTATTTGTTGTTTTTGCAGGTTTCGTCCTCCATACTATAGAACTCATAACACTACTGGCCAAATTAACTAAACATGCTCACCAGTTAATACCAGTACCAATATTAATACCAGGTGTTAAGCCTGTAAATTGCACTTTAAGCTAAATATTATAGTGTATCTTGCAAAACAACTAGTAAAATATTATATACTGTCATCATGGCAAAGACAAAAGAAGTGAGTTTTTTTGAAAGTAGTTATTAAAACTTTGCTAATTTTTTTAAAAAGAATAAAAATATCACAGAAGGGCTAATAATTTTGCCCTAAATATTTTTATTATTATTATTTATTTGTTTATTTAATGGTGTTGACCTCTAACCATAAACTTTACAACAGTAATGTAAGGGTAATGCTTTTGAAATGTTTCAAATGAGGCACTACAGCTAAAGAAAAAAGAATCGAACTTATCATTGTACTTTTTATACATATTCTTGCCATTTAAAAGTGTCTTGATAAAGTATAGAATCAGGGCCACATCACCCCATCTTACTCTCTCCCTCTTTCTTGTGTTTTGTGCTCTGTATTTTTGTAGTTACCTGTCAGAGGATGACATTCTAGATCAGGAAAACCCCTTTGTGCAGTTGATCAGTGGTGTGGTGTGGCTGCTGAGAAAGGGTGAGATCTACATCAATGAAAGCATCCAGGCAGAATGTGACAAAACACAGGAGACCGGTAAGATTGAACAGGATCCCCTCAGAAGTGCGATTATATAATAAATGTTGTTTATCTACTTCTACTGCTGCATTTAAGCACATTCATACTCAGAAGCTTAATAGTGAAGTATTGAATAAAATATTGTCAACTTTATGTTGTAGGAAATTTTAGGCACTTTGTGGATGTAATATCAGCCCGTACGGCAGTCGGTCACGATAAGGAGGGAAAACTGATCCTCTTCCACGTCGATGGTCAGACGGATGTACGAGGGTGAGAATGGACTTTGTCCCTGAGCTGATTTCAGCTGTTTATCGCTGTAAACATTGATTCTTACCCAGAAAAAAAGTCCAGAATGATCCTGTGCGAGATTTATTGCTCAAAAAGACAAATTAGAACACTTCTTTATGAATGTTTTTTTTATTTATCGATGATATTTTAAATTCAGTTTTTATGCAGCACAACTTTATATTTTTAATTAAGATGAAATGTTTCTTAAGCAGCAAATCAGGAATTTTGTAATTAGTATTCAACGCTGAATACTAATGTAATGATGCTGACATTTTAACTTCCCTATCATCGGAATAAATTATTATTTTTACTGTCATTTTGATTTAATATATTCAGCATGGGTGCAGCACAAGTTCAAATTAGTCAAAAGTTATCAGTACCTACAGTTGAAACCAGAAGTTTACATACACTGCACTGCCTTTTAGGTAAGTCAGGATTATCAAATTTGTTTCTGTTATGCTTAATAGCAAAATAATGAGAGAGATATTTTTTAGAAATTGTTATAACTTTTCTTGAAAGTCAAGTTTACATACAATAAGATTATTATGCCTTTAAAAAGGCTGAGATGATAGTGAAAACGTTTTGGAAGTTTCTGACTGGCTAGTTGACAACATTAGAGTTATTTGGAGGCACAGCTGTTGAATAGTATTGAAGGAAAACCTCAAACACGGCTTATTTGTGTGACAACATGGGAAAATCAACAAGCTATAATCAACAGAAAACCTGATTACAAATTGCTAAATTACACTGGGTAAAAGAATAATTTTTGGAGACATGTCCTGTGATCTGATGGAACTAAGATTGAACTGTTTGGCCATAATGACCAGTGTTACAATTGGAGGACAAAGGAGAAAGCTTACAAGCCTAGGATCACCATCCCAACTGTGAAGTATGGGGACGGCAGCATCATGTTGTTGTGCTGTTTTGCTGCAGGAGGGAATGGTCCACTTCACAGCATAGATGGCATCATGAAGAAAGAACATTATGTAGAAATACTGAAGCAACATCTCAAGACATCAGCCAGGAAATTAAACCTTAGCCACAAAAGGGTCTTCCAAACAGACCATGACCCTAAGCATACTGCCAAATTAGTAAAAATGTGCTTTAAGGACAACAGAGTGAATTTTTTGGAGTGGCCATCACAAAGCCCTGAACTAAATCCTATAAAAAATTTGTGGGCAGAGTTGAAAAAGCTTGTGCGAGCAAGACAGCCAACAAATCTGACTCCGTTACACCAATTCTGTCGGGAGGAATGGGCCAAAATTCCTTCAAACTATTGTGAGAAGCTTGTGGAAGGATACCCAAAACATTTATACAGTTTAAAAGAAAATATAAAAAAAAAAACACACAAGAAAATGTAAACTTTTGACCGTCTAGAAATTAATAAAAATTTCTCAAAAAAAAAATTCTCTCATTATTGTGGCATTTAGCAAATGTAAATCATTTAGGTAATCCTAAAGGACCTAAAATAGTAAACGTTTAATGCGATATACCCTCAGACATTTTTTTTTTTACAAATGGTTATGTTCCTTTTGTGCATGTAAACTTTTGGTTTCAACTGTAGGTACTATTTTTGATAATAATAAAAATTTTAGGCCAGACTAACAAAGTCCTTATTGTCCGTGGAAATTAGCTAAGATATATATTAATAGGACTCTGATGGTTGGTCTTTAAAAGGCTTATGTAGAATCAATTTGAGCCTTTTCACTGATTTGTTGCTTTGCTTTTTTAAAACAGAAGAACTTGCGGTTTAAGGTTTTAAATAACTGCAGCAGTTATTAGGGGTGAAAGTGCCTGGGTTATCCATGTTTTATGAAATTCAGGTGTTAAAGAATGCATCCTCTTTTGATTCATTTCAAACCTTTCCCACAGGATCTCAGTGTAAGGTCCCTTTGGCAAGGCCAACAGATTTAAATTTTCATTTGTTCCTTGTGCTATTGATTTGCTGACTTTTAATGAGTAGCCGCTGTTTTTAGTTCTATTAATGTAGTGTAATGTTTATCTTAAGTGTGGTGTGGTATATACAGTTGAAGTCAGAATTATTAGCCCCTCTGTTTTTTTCCCCCCCCCCAATTTCTGTTTAACAGAGAGCAGATTTTTTTCAACACATTTCTAAACATTATAGTTTTAATAACTCATTTCTAATAACTAATTTATTTTACCTTTGCCATGTTGATATTAAATAATATTTTACTAGATATATTTAAAGACACTTCTATACAGCTTAAATTGACATTTAATGGCTTAACTTGGTTAAATAGGTTAACTAGGCAGGATATGGTAATTAGGCAAGTTGTATAATGATGGTTTGTTCTGTAGACTATCAAAAAATATATAGCTTGAAGGGGCTAATGATTTTGTCCTTAAATTGGTGTTTAAAAAATTCAAAACTGCTTTAATTTTAGCCAAAATAAAATAAATAAGACTTTCTCAAGAAGGAAAAATATGATCAGACATACAGTGAAAATTCACTGGCTTTGTTAAACATCATTTAGGAAATATTTGAAAAAAAAAGAAAGAAAAAAAATTAAAAGGGAGGCTAATAATTCTGACTTCAATTGTGTGTTGTAGATTCATTATGCTGCAGAATAAATCACCCCAAAAGGGCACAATAAAATTTCAAAATTCACTTTATGTTAATTAATACATTAACAATACAATAAACAGGAACAACTTACAAAAAAATCCATTAGTTAATGCATAATATTAAACGAAAACAAGCTTTTTTGTTTATTGCACTATTAATCTTTAACTTTATTTAATTAAAGTACAACTAGTTAATGCATGAACTAGCATAATATTAAATGATAAAGAACTTTACATTTGTTGCACTATTAATCTTTGTTCACTTGATTTAAATAAAATAAAACTATTCATTGTTGATTCATGTCAGCCCAGGGTCCGTTTATTAACATTAACATATACAGATTTTAATTTAGCAATGTATTTGTTCAGAAATTAGTTAACTAAAAACTAAACCATAAAAGGTTTACCAAAACTATTTTAAATTAAAGCTCACTTGTTATCCCACTTAAATTTAACTTAAACCGCATTAAACATACATAATATCTTTAAATAAAATACTTTTATTATAAATCAATCATAATAAAATTAGCATATCAATCATGTTTGTGTATTCATGGATGAAGCATCTCATTTCTGAATTCTCCATTTTTGCAGCTTAGTTTTCTTGAATTTCAGCTTTGTTTAAAAAATATCTAACCACATTGAGAATGGTCTGGGCGCATCTGCAGTTCTGGTACAGTTGAATTTTTAGAGTTGTGTGCTTTACACGGGTTTAGTAAAGCACTGTCTTTGCAGGATGAACCTCTGGCAGGTGGCAAAGTTTCTAAAGGATCAGAATGTCATGAACGCTATTAATCTGGATGGAGGCGGATCAGCTACTTATGTCCTCAACGGATCCCTGGCTAGCTACCCTTCAGACCACTGGTGTGTAAATGCAACAGCCAAAATATACATAAATGAGCTACAATATGCACCTAATATTTCTGTATTAATTCCAGCAACCCTTCAAAGTGGCGCTGCCCGCGGGCCATATCCACTGTGCTGTGTATTCACGAGAGACTGTGCCAGCCGGAGGACTGCAGTGGGCATGGGCGATGTGTGGAGGGCCAGTGTGTGTGTCAGCATGGCTGGAGCACGCCTGGATGTGCCAATCTTACATGCCAGGCTGAATGTGGAGAACACGGGATCTGTACTGAGAGTGAGTCACACTGTCTATTGGACTAATATTACATTATGGGACATTATGGTAACACTTTGTTTAAAGCCTTTAATGTAACAGTTTATACCACATGATGTTAAATGCTTGATTCAGATTGGCTGAACATTTATAGGGCATGCAGTTATTTTCAGAGAAACACATAGCTTTATGATTTCCAGGAAGGTCATGACAGCACTATTTCTCTATCATGACGTTGAATAATTTAAGTTATTTAATTCAAAAAATAAAATATGTTATTAATAATAAAAATTATTAATATTATATTTAAATTATAAAAAATATAATATTTTTTCTATTTTGTTTGGTTTATTTTAATTTTATTTCTATTTTTTAAGTATTTTATTTCTTATTTTAAAATTAAATTTAACAAAAATAAATTTAATAAAATTAATTCTTAGTATGATATTTATTAGGAGCTATTTCTACAACAACTGAAATACAACATGTGAACAATGCCTTCAAAATGTGACTCCAACTCGGGTATACATTATTATATAATAATTAAATGGCTCATTGTCAGTTAGTCCTTATATTCTGTAATATTTCTGTATTTTTATGACCATAAAATACAATTAAATAATAATTCTAGCCATTGATAAACTAGATTATGATAATTAATACAATAAATTCCCTGTTGCATTATGAAAACAACACATTATTATTGCACTAATATTACATTATGGGACATTACAGTAACACTTTGATTGAAGTCTTTAATATAACAGTTTATACTACAGGCAGTTGAGAAAAAATTAACAGCTATTTCCAAGCAGGTCATGACAGCATTGCAGTTCTTTATCATGATGCTGAAGGATTCAAATTATTTAATTCATAAAATAAAATAAAATAATGTTATAATTATTAATACATATATTTATAGTTTCATTTCATTTTATTACTGTTCTATTCTGTTTTGTTTTACTTCTTTTATATTATAATTATTTAATTTTATTTACTAAAATATAATGCATTTGAATGTCGCATTGATGTAAATGTACTCTGGTAATTAAATGGCTCGTTGTCAGCTACTCCTTACATACTTAAAGCAATTATAGCGTCGTATGATTTAAGTTATTTAATTCACAAAAATAAAATGTATTTAAATTTGTTATAAAATATTAACATTACATAAAAATATATATAAATATGTTTCTGTTTTATTGTATTTTATTTCTATTTTTATAGCTTTATTTCTTTTCCTTTGTGTTCTATTCTGTTTTATAAATTAAATTTAATTTAATTTAATTAAATATAATTTGCCTTTCAGCCACAACCCATCTCTGGGAAACTAATTTAATTTAATTCAAATTAATTTTATTTCATTTAATCTAATGCATTGTAATTTAATTTAATTTAGTTTAATTTAATTTAAACTGGGTGCTCCGGTCTCCCCCACAAGTCCAAAGACATGTGCTATAGTTGAATTGGGTAGGCTAAATTGTCTGTAGTGTATGAGTGAAAATGAGCGTGTATGAATGTTTGCCAGTGCAGGTTGTAGCTGGAAGGGCATCCACTGCGTAAAACATATGCTGGATAAGTTGGTGGTTCATTTCGCTGTGGGGACCCCTGAATAATATAGGGACTAAGCTGAAAAGAAATGAATGAATGAATAAATGGCTTGTGGTCAGTTATTCCTTATAAATGTAATGTTTTGACCATGAAATTGCCAGCTATTTTCAGAGAAATAATCAGAAATATAATGTGAGCTAACACTGCTTCTGTTAAAGTGAATAAAAGCAGATTGTTGTACTGTTTGTTGTTTTGTAACTCTCCTATCTCTCTATCTTTCTCTCCTATACTTGATTTCTTGAACAGACGGGTGTGTTTGCGATGCTGGATGGATGGGTTTATACTGCAGCCAAGGTAAAGACTACATCAGCTTGGCTGTCATACTGGTTCAGACTATCAAATAAAGCTGACCGGCTATTTGCTGTTAGACTCTTATATAAGAGTTCTGTTGGTTGCAACATATCTGCTACAGTCAGCAATGGTCGTATATTGATTTTGGACCAGTAAGTTCATCTGAAGTGCCGTCAGACTTCTACGTTGAACTGTCTGTGTGTATGTTTGCAGTATGCACAGCAGGTTTGTATGGCGATGGCTGCAATCAGACATGCACATGCGCAAATGGAGGCTCATGTGATCCTGTCCACGGCCGTTGCACCTGTCCTGCTGGCTTCCATGGAGACTCCTGTGAGCAGGGTGTGCAGTCTAATCTCTAATGTACTAAATTGGTGTAAATGGAGTCAAAACTTTGCAGACTTGACCTGAGAGTTATCTTACATGTTATAACAAACCATAAAAAGATGTTTTCAATTTTGCAGTAGATAATCTCACTATGCTCTCTTTGTGTTTCCAGAATGCCCCATTGGTTTCTATGGGCTGAATTGTAAGCAGCTTTGCCAGTGCCAGGACATGTGCCCATGTGACGCCGCCACTGGAAGCTGCAACACCACATACCAGGGAGAGAGAAACATCAGCCTTCACAGAGGTATGATCCAGCTCCTATTAGCACTCACACGACATGCAAACAACACATTCCTGGTGTGACGTCTCTATAGATCAGTGGTAATGTTCACACTTTCTCAGCACATAACTCTCTCTACTTATAGCTTCAGCCATCAGCATTCCTCATTGTCCTTCTATATGTGTGCGTCTGTCCAAACCTCTCTACTGTTGAACATGGCACGCAACTTGACTGAAATATGAGCCTTCTTTCGCCAAGCCGTGATTTGCTGGAGCTGATTTTCACAAGGGCTGTTCATTTCATTCATCCATTTAATGCAGTAAAAGTGTTTTTAAATAAAGAATTGATTTATAGTTGAAAATAAGTATTGAACACGTCACCATTTTTGTCAGAAAACATTTTTCTAAAGGTGCTGTTGACTTGAATTTTCACCAGATGTTGATGACAACCAAAGAAATCCAAATATGCAGAGAAAACCAATCTAATTAGGTTACAAATGAAGTTATGTGTAGTAAAATGAAATGATGCAGGGAAAAAGTATTGAACAAATGAAGAAAGGGAGGTGTAGAAAGTCAGTGAATGTCCAGACAGCAGCCGAAATCTCTTAGAATTTCTTCAGCAACCATCTGCCATTCCTCAGTGTAAATTAATATGTAAATGAAAGTTGCTTCAGTACAACATCTACTTTATCAGGATGATGAAGATGAAACCTGAGTGGACATTTCAGCAAGATAATGATCTGAAACACATCAAAGGAAACACTCAAATGCTTTCAGAGAAAGAAAATCAAGCTGTAGAATGGCCCAGCCAATCACCTGACTTGGATCCAATAGAAAATACTAAATAAAAGTCAGATTTGATAGACGAGATCCACAGAACCATCTAGACCAAAAAAACTCACATTTGACCAATGCATGTAACTTCATTCTCCATATGAGAGGTGTCTTGAAGCTGCCATCATTAAAAAGCCTTTTATATAAAGCAGGGGTGCTCAAACTTTTTCTGAAGGGCCACAAACCAAACTTAATTGAGGCTAGTGGGTCGAACGGTATTTATAGTTGGCATGGGTAATTTCCAAAAAATTTTTTATAATGTTTAAAAATGACTATAAATCATTGCTTTATATTAACTAATACAGAATTGTATATAATTTTATAATGAACTTATTACATTAAAAATAAAACCTCATTCATAACAGAATTACGCTAGTTTTTGCCTTGATTTGCTCGCCTGTCGAGTGGCAGTGTTTACATTTTTTTTTTTTAATCTGATTAATTTACAACATTTAATTCTAACATTTGAATACAGTTTGCTTATTTTGTAGCTCAGCAATAAAACAAACAAAAAAGCTTAGGTCAAATTAGAAATAATGATCTCTGCATGTGTTAAAATTTGTCCCCAACCTTTTTCATAATTTTCACTGTCAGATGGGATGGTGGGCAAAATCAAAAGGTTACAATGGGCCAACTTTAGCCCTACTTTGAGCATCTTTGATATAAAGTATAAAATACATTTCAGTTGTTCAGTACTTTCTCCTTGTGTCATTTCATTGTTATTACACAATTCATTTTTCAGATATTTTTTGTTTTATTTTGATGTTTGTATTGTTTGTGTTTTTACCAAAATCTGTTTCAATTCCATGTCAACAGCTCCTTTATATATAAATATCATTCCCAGGAAAAAACATGACGTGTTCAATTCTTATTTTCCCGGCTGTATGTGTTTGTGTAAAAAAATTAAAACATTTAAACAGCCTTGTTGTATAAAATGAACTTTTCTATTTATCAATCAAACTGAAAAAAAAAAAATAGGTTAAACTTTCTAGAACTTAAAATTAGTAAAACCTGAATAAATTATTAAAAATAGGTTAAAGCAACATAAAAACATTTGTTCTCTTGACTTTTCGTCTTTACATTTTTTAGTGTGTAAACTAATGGGGATTTCTTTAATTGTAATAACTCATCAAATTGTAATAATAAGCATTTACTTTCAAAAGTAATGCTGTAATACTTTCAAAAATCATGAGTGCAAAAAAAAAATTATATATATATATATATATATATATATATATATATATATATATATATATATATATATATATATATATATATATATATATATAGGCCTAATATCTGATGGCCAGAAAGTAATAATTTTTTTTTTAAATAGTTAAAATATTTGTGTCTGAGATGCAGCAAGTCCAGAGACTGTTGTGTACACCATACATCTATATAAAATTCAATTTAATGTTTGATATGACTAAAAAGTAGTAGTACATAAATATTGTATCATTTCAATTGAGTAGCGGCTTAGACCTGGAAACAGTATTTCTTATGTCTCAATTTAACAAGCGGATATTATTGTTATTTAAAGCATTTTTGGTTAAAAATAACAAAAGTGTTCTATGTTTTCAGAGGTTTATATTAATTTTTAGGCTAAACTATGTTTCACAGTGTGTCCACAAGGTTTTAAAATGTCATAAATTGTCTTAAATTTCAAAAACAAAATTTTAGGCCTTGAGTCTTAAATTCGCTGAAATATTGGGTTGTAGATCTTAAATAATTGTAAACATGTTTTAGTTTTCCAATGTCCATGCACCCAACACGCATCCAATCACCAAAAATCCATCTCTATTAAACTTTTAACAAAGCTCTATTTATAACTCTATTTACAATATGGTTTAATAATCATCTATACAATAACATGTTTAAAAGTCCTCTGTTTTCACATTTAATATTCCATTTTTATAGGAACTGTTACAATACGGTGGAAAAAAACAGTCACAGCTTCCAGTTCATGTGGACTTTAACTGCCATTGTTTTAATTTTGTAAAAATGGAAATGTTGCTTTATTCTAAAAAATCAATATCGCATAAATAATTAATGAAACGCAGGCTTTTTTTTAATGCTTTTTAATATTTCAAAATTTCCATCGCTGTCTATTCACAGTCACAATTTCAACTACCCTACTGAGACTTGCATGCTCACACATACTCGCACACACATTGTCAAACGGTGTGTGATAAACAAAGCTGCCGGCTGTTTGCAGAAGAGCTGCTGAGAAAAGAGACCCTGCAGAATCACAGTCTACCCAGCAGCCCTTCATGTTGCTGATGACCTCTGTGACAGAGAAGCTATTTGTGTTAAAAAGAAAAAAAAAAAACTGTCAGCTCATTTTGTCCCAACTCTCTGACCTCTGTCATTTAACGTGAGAAGAAGATGCATCCCCAAGCTTCCCTGCAGAAGAATAATAAAGCCCAAACCCCCTGTGTTCAGCATCAGCCCTTCGCTTGACACCTCGGGCTCATTATGATCCAAATCTGCCATCTGCTGAGCACGTGAGGAGCTTTCTGCTCATCTCTGCCTGTCTTCGGTATGACAGCCTCCTCAATTATTCCCTTCACGTGAAGGATTTCATAGCAGGAGAATATTCAATTTATTCTTTCCTTGATCTATTGAAACAATGTGAAAACTGTAATGTTCTGAACTCCAAATGTCATCCCAAAAGACCATATTTTGCAACTTGTAACTGGAAAAATAAATTTACTTTAACAAGGTTCATTTTTCAGATATGAAAAATGTCCAATTCCAAAACGTTTTTTTAGAAAACACAAGTTAAATGAAATCGTCTGCACTGTTGTATGTCCTATTTGAAAATCTAAATTGATTAAATTGATTAAGGACAGTTACAATTGATTTTCAACAGCATAATCCTCCAAAACCACATACTAGGAAATTTGGCCAAAAATATGGAGGATGATCAATGTTGTCAGGTGACTCTTCTAATTTGCGTTCTGTTCTGTACTGGAAAAATGTAAACAATAACGATGATCCAAATGTATTTCCTGTTTTATATTTTTAAATTTCATAGCTTCCAAAAATCCAAAAAGGCCTTCATATTGATAAATAATGTTATGACTGCTGTATAAATGTTAAGTTACTGCCTTTTGTTACAAAAATGAAACTGTTTGACAACAAGCAGGAAGTGTTCATGGGCCAATGACATCACCACATTGAAATGGTCTATATACTGTATATATACAGGGCATCCGGAAAGTATTCATAGGGCTTCACTTCTTCCACATTTTTTATGTTACAGCCTTATTCCAAAATGGATTAAATTTATTTATTTCTTCAAAATTCTGCACACAATACCCCATAATGACAATATGAAAAAGAGAGTTTTTGAAATTGTTGCAAGTTTATTTAAAATAAAAAACCTGAAACATCACATGTACATAAGTATTCACAGCCTTTGCTCTATACTTTGTTGATGCATCTTTGGCAGCAATTACAGCCTCAAGTGTTTTTGAATATAATGGCACAAGCTTGGCGCACCTGTCTGACATTTTTTGCCCATTCCTCTCTGCAGTACCTCTCAAGCTCTATCAGGTTGGATACGGAGTGATGGTGTACAGCCTTTTTTAGATCTCTCCAGAGATGTTGAATAGGATTTAGTTCTGGGCTCTGGCTGGGCCACTCAAGGACATTGACCGAGTTGTTGTGAAGCCGCTCCATTGATATTTTGGCAGTGTGCTTTGGGTCATTGTCCTGCTGGAAGATGAACCGTCGCCCCAGTCTGAAGTCAAGAGTACTCTGAGGCAGGTTTTCATTCAGGATGTCTCTGTACATTGTTGCATTCATCTTTCCCTCTATACTGACTAGTCTTCCAGTTCTTGCTGCTGAAAAACATCCATACAACATGATGCTTCCACCACCATGCTTCACTGTAGGGATGGTATTAGCCTGGTGATGAGCAGTGCCTGGCTTTCTCCTAACGTAACCCCTGGTATTCACTCCAAAGAGTTCAAATTTAGTCTCATCAGACCAGAGAATTTTGTTTCTTATGGTCTGAGAGTCCCTCAGATGCCTTTTGGCAAATTCCAGTCGGGGGGTGGTTTCTGTCTAGCCACTCTACCATACAGGCCTGATTGGTGGATTGCCGCACAGATGGTTGTCATTCTGTAAGGTTCTCCTCTCTCCACAGAGGAATGCTGGAGCTTAGACAGAGTGACCGTAAGGCTATTGATCACCTCCCTCACTAAGGCCCTTCTCCCCCCAATCACTCAGATTAGATGGTCGGCCAGCTCTAGGAAGAGTCTTGGTGGTTCCAAACATCCTCCACTTACGCATGATGGAGGCCACTGTGCTCATTGGAACTTTCAGAGCAGCAGAAATTTTCCTGTAACTTTCCCCAGCCTTGTGCCTCGAGACAATCCTGAATACTTATGTACATGTGATTTTTCAGGGTTTTGTTTTTTTTTTTTTTTTTTTTATAAATTTGCAACAATTTCAAAAAGTATTTTTTTCACATTGTCATTATGGGGTATTGTGTGTAATAATAAATAAATAAATGTAATCCATTTCGAAATAAAGCTGTAACATTAAAAATTGTGGAACAAGTGAAGCACTATCAATACTTTCCAGATGCACTGTTTATATAATATGGATATGTGTGTACAACTTTTTTTTTTTTTTGTCAGTGCTCTACTTTTGTGATGGGCTCGTGTATTGAATATAAGAGCACACAACCTCTGATAGGTGAAGTTTGTCTCGCTCTCATTGGTTATTGGATGCATGCTATCAGAAACAGCCCAATTAGGAGTTGTAAATATAAAACATGCTTTGCGATTTTGAATAAGGTAGGCTCTGACTTTACAGAGTAGCAAAATAATCTTAATGACACCCCATGATTGAGGATTTTACAGAAGAAAAAAATGCACTCTGATCATTGGGGCATTCCCAAAACTGTCACTCTATTTACATGCAACAATATATATATATATATATATATATATATATATATATATATATATATATATATATATATATATATATATATATATACTTTAATCTATACATACACTGTAAAAAATTTCTGTAATTTCTTTACAGTGGCACTGGGGTGCTGGAGATAAAATGTAAAATAATGGCCAATAAATTACAGAAATTTACCTTTGAATAATGGACATTCAATTATAGAAATTTCTTTACAATTTACAGGGGTTTTTTTGGCACCCCAGCTGCTGAAAAAATTTTTAAATTACAGATTTTTTATCTTAATTTATCTTGATGTGTCTTTACAATATAGTTAATTAGAAAATTCACTATTTATTGACTCTGCTATAACAAAATCTTTGGCTATAATTCGAATGCTGTATGGCCTTCTTCGTTGGACTACAATTTTTTTTAAAAAGCTATGCTTTTTGGGACACTATAAAAGGCTGGGTTGTTTAAACACAACATTGAGTCAAATTTGAACTAAAACAAGACTATCAAGTCCAGATCACTAAAGACAGGCAAACTAACTTGCAGTTGCGACACAACAGTGTTGCCGTATTTACTTCAGAGAAGAATGTACATGGATTGTCTTTTGTATTTTTCACCATTTTTTCCCTGGTGAGCTGCAGTGAACTGTGATGCTAGACTTTAACGTATGCGTAGTCATGCACAGACTAACATCCAGAACATTTGGAAGATACAGGTATATTCTGGTATCATTCTGTGATACTTTCACTTCTTTTTAATAATGCTGGTTACCATTTAGAATTATTATTAAGAATGATATGAGCAGGGCTAAACCTGTTCTATTGACTCTGTGTCAGTGTCCAATATGAATAATGAATAATTTAGTTGTTTCAATGGGAATCCACATGATCATGGCATGATGATTTCTCTGTACACATTGTGTAAACTAGCAGCTCATCAGGATTTACACATTGAGCAATTATTAAAGCCGCCTGTTCTGCATGTGACTTCTGTGTCAGCTAAACTTTTAATGTTGCAACTTTTTATTTTTTTTAATTTTTTTTTATAAAAACGCATTTTGATAAAGTGCTTGTACCTTTATGTCTAAAGCCACAATTGGGTCAAAACATTTCGATTTCATGGACAGTACTGATTTAATATTTTCTGCTTTGTTTCCACAGTTTCATGTGAAGTTAGGAAAGGGGTGAAAGGAGAAATATGCTCATGAGGGAGAGTTGTTGTCGTAACAGGGGATTTGATAAAAAAAAAAAAAAAAAAAAAAAAAACATTGTTTTGTTCTCATATCTTTCAGCTGGTCACTGCTTGGCTACCCAGATGTGGAGGGAATGGAGACAAGAGGAGGAAGCTCAGGCTCCCAGACCCTATTTATCAGAGTAAGTGTTCAGTAAAACACACACACACACACACACACACACACACACACACACACACACACACACACACACACACACAAACACACAAACACACAAACACACAAACACCAGTCAATATGTGCCCCTTTGCTTCTACTTTATATATAAAGTCTTCACTTCTTTACACATTTTATTAATTTATACAGTGCTTTCCTATACAAAAATTAGGTGTTTGGTCATGGGATTTTTTGTTTTATAGATTTTTAAAAGTGTAGCATTCAGTTATGTCAAAACAATATAATAAAAAATGTTAAGCATTAAAAGTGTGAATGCTCAAAAATCTGAGCATAAAAAAACCTTATATTGTTAAAGTGTAACAACACATTAAATATTATATTGGATGTCATCAAATGGTTTGTTATTTATATCAAAAAATATCTTTAAACAAACTTTAGAGCTGTGCTTATTTAAACTTATGCAATTTATTTTTTAAATAAAACATTAGAAAAAATAAAACACACCCTTTATTTGCATTTTATAGCCGTTTTATTCTACTAAATTCCCTTTTGGTCAATTTTATTAGATGGAGACCAGAATGCAACATCTAATCTTTCACCCACATTTTAATCAATGTGAAGTATTGAGTTGTGGTCTGAGGGCAGTTGGCATTAAAGAAACAAATCAATTGTGTTTGCGTTCAGTTGAGATTAGCGAGCATGCTTAAATCACCACGACTGATAAAGTTTAACATCAATTATAGCTTATATCTTGTTGGTTTTTTTGTATATCTTAAAGCAGAGATGCCCAAACTAAGGCCTGTGGGCCAAAGTTGGCTCAAGGTAACCTTTGATTTCCATCTGAGAAGAGAGGGAGAATGTTGGGGCAAATGCAGACATTGAATAAACAGAGATTGTCATTTGTTATTTTAACATTACCTTTTTTTTGTTTGTTTGTTTGTTTTAATCGTTAGGCTACAAAAAAAAAGCAAACTGAAATGAAACCTGTCAATTAAATGTTGTGGATGAATCAGATTTTTAAAAGTGTAAACACTGTCAATCAAAAGATGATCCATGAGCAAATCAGAGAAAAGGCTGGTGCATCTTAACCTGTGTATTCAGCATGGAACGCAAGTGTGTTATAAATGGGATTATGTTTTAATTGTAGTACGTTCTGTTAAACAAAGTTGTGTAAATTAACTAGTTGCTTTACTTTTACTTTCCCTTGTGTACATTTTTTGTGCAGTATAGGTACTTTTGCTCCATACTTTCCTTCAACTTGCAGTCACTACTTTATTTTTCTTATCTATCGGGATTAGAAAAATCAGTCCTGTGATTCCTGTCCAATCAAATCTCACATAGAAAGTAATTCGCATCATAATGAAATGTCTCACAGCAAACTGTTTGGAAGCATTAGAAGTGTCCTAGAAGATGTCCAAAATTTTTACACACATTGAATCAGAGACTGTTTAGTTGCATGTCACTGATGAGAATAGAACGGATGTTTACTGTATGATGTGTGAAATCGCCTTAAACACCCAGCAGGCACAAGACGTCAACATAACGTCAGATTGGCATTGTGCCTCAACCTGGAGATGTAGCATTTTGTTTGAGTTCTGATGTTAACAGATTTTCATTACCAATGTCAGGCTAATGCCATTGTCCAATGTTCAACCTAAAAATCAACTAAATATTAACATCTAATGATCTCACAGCTTGGCATTGTGTGGACGTTACCACTATGACGTTTATCAAACATTGAATTTTGGCTGCCATACCTAACGAATAAATGTCAGTGTTTGACGTCAGTATGGCGTATGTTGGCTAAACGTTGGATTTTGGTCACTTATTAATACAACCTAAAATCAACCAAATATCAAAGCCATTTGACGTTGTTGTTGGTGATCAAAAAAAGATTGTCCTTAGACGCTGGCTAGGCATTGAATTTTGGTCACCACCTGACGTCACAACCCAAATCTAACCTAATATTAACATCTTAAGACGTTATGTGCCTGATGGGCAATAAATAAATGCACTAAGTTCACGCACATCCACAAATTACATGTAAACGCATCAGCTTTTACGAGCATAATACTCACCATTCATTACTCTTGAGTACTTTTGAATGGTCTGCTTTTTACTCATACTTTGAGTAATATTTACAACAGTTACTTTTACTCTACTTTCACTACATTTTTAGGCAAGTAATGGTACTTTTACTTGAGTATAATTTTTTTTTTTTTTGTATTCTCTCCACCACTGGTTAAACATCATTTGGGAAAAATGAAAAATAAAAAAAATAAAATGGGGGGCTAATAATTCTGACTATATACAATAATTCTGATATATATATATACTGTATTATTAATACAATTAAATAAATGTTCTATATATTTTAAATATTAATAAAATAGATTATTACCATGGCAACTTTAATGTAAGGGTGCTTTCACACCTGTGAATCGATTCAGTTGTTCCGAAACAGAGATTACAAATGTTACATTGTTGCTCTTTGCTCTTGGTGCGGTTCGCTTTCACATTGCAAAGTTTCTAATCGGACCAAAATAGCCAAAACAAGTCACGTGTGAGTAAACTCTCCTCACATTGGTCAGAGTGTCAGGGTTTATTTTGCATCGTCCTGCTCAGCTGTCAGGATAGGTGGTGGTTTGATAGTGATTGACAGGGTGCGCGCGCGCGATGTGTCTAAGGAGAGATGTGGTGGGGAGGGGTGAGAAGGGTGCGCGACGTAGCCTATTTGAGGACCGGGAGGGAGACGCGAGATTACCGGGAGATCATCACTCGTTTGCGGGCATCCAGAGACTCGCGAAACTTCCCGCCCTACTCGTAATTCTCTCTTCATATAGCCGTAAGCCTATTACATATCCATAAAACACTGTGATATAACCGCGCTCGGATCGGATCGCTTTCTCACTGTAATCGAACTGCTCCAGGGTTCGTTTCAATCGAGCCGAGACCACCTCATTCAAGCGATCTTGGAGCGATTACTTTGGCGCGGAACAGAGCACGATTGCCCTGTTCACATATGCCAAATGAACCGCGCTAACTGGGCAATCGAGACACGTTCCGAAACAAAAGTGTAGGTGTGAAAGCACCCTAATATTTTGGTTTATTTACCTTCAGCCCTGCACCCTCAATCATGTTTGGTTTTTGGCTTTTCACAAGAAAAAGTTTGGGAACCCCTGCCTTAAAGTAACAGACATGGGGCCTAAAAATATCTTATCTCAACCAACTTGTCATTTAAACCATTCCCTATCTGCATGTTTGAACTAACTCGATTATTGCCATGGAGAAAAAAAATCACTCTGACAAATTCCAGGCCTGTGTTTAGCAGAACAGGCTTTCTGACAAGTCTGAACCAAGTGCCCAGACTGTACTGGTAAACAACTCAGCGGCAACAGAGTGGCACAGATGAATTTATTAGTCAGCCCGGCCTTTCACATGCAAGTAAGGGATTGTGTAAAGTTGCCATGGCTGCATTGGAGTGCTTTTGTGGAGGCCGTGGGCATCGGCGGTGGAGTCAGAGGTCAAAGTGCAGCTCCTCACCCTCCGAGTGTTTTGTTTATGTGTGTGCAGACAAAGCTGGCTGGTTGTCTGCTCAATCCTGGCAACGTCGCTGCTGGCCAGCCTCACTGGTAACCTTATCCAGACGTGCAGAAAATGCAAAGCGCGCAGGCAGAGGGCGGACTACTCCTACTTGCCGCTAGGAGAGATCAACGGGGCCACAGAGCGAGGAGAGATGAAGTCTGGGAAAGTTCTGTTTCAGCAAGGGGACTCGGATTCGCAAGACTCTTCATGATGTGTTTGGAAATGCATGCATGAGCGCGGGTTCATGCAAGTGTGCCATCCAGCAGAGCAGAGCAGCACAAGCTCTCATTAGTCTGGGGTTTGTTTGCTCACGCTGGGAATCTATGAGCTTTTGGAAAGGCGTAGGATCGGCGTGTTCAAGTAGACAATGAGATGGGCGTTAGTGTCCAAACAGCTGTCTGCGCGCTCACATTCACCCCTGCTGAGCCTGTAGACGCCAGCCAACTCTGTTCATAACATGCCAAGTGCCCTGATTGTGCAGTTTGGACACTTTCAAATGAGCTGCTAGCGATGTAAGAACCAGTTTTTCATGTATGTGTAAAATAGTTTTTCATTGACCTCAAAGAAGTCTTTCATTTTGGTCTTGAGGCGAGATCCAGGAAAAAAAATAAAGAGCAATATCACCACAAAGCCTTTTTTGTTGAGATAACGACAGTTGTTCCACCTGTTTCCATAGGAATAGACTACTTTTGAACTATGAACTTTTTTGGCACAATCCTTCCTGCAGGAACTTGCTGAACTGCTATTTTGAAACACAGATTTATTGAATGTTTTTTTTTTTTGCTCTTCAGAGGTCATTCAGTTCATTTTGATTGCACCGTCAGCCTTTTCGTTTCTATAAACTGTCAGCCTTATCAGGGTTTTGTTGTGTGTGTCGTCTTTAAACGTGCCACAGAATCTTGCCATGAAAAAAAAAGAGGCCTGGATTGTTTTCAAGCTCTCTAGTAAAGCAAGAACCCACAAAGTTGCTTTGTTCTGAAGCAATAAATCCAGGCTTTCAGAGGACATTTGTCAGCTTCTGTTTTAGCTCTGAACCATGAGACAAATGTTGTGGAAGAGGAACATTTACTTGGGTTAGTAGTTCCTGTGCTGTTTCCTGTTTACCATCAAAATAGATTTCGACTTGATTTAAGAGTTCGAACACAGAGACAAGGGGAAAGATGAGTTTTATTTAAATGGTCAAAACATGCAAGGTCGCATTACACCACAAATCAAATTTATATTATGGCTATTATGGACGACTAATATTTGTTCAGATCCTCATATCATTTTAATTACAGTTATGCACATTTTCTCAGCTTAGATTTAATGGAACAAAACTGATTTGCAGAAAAAATATTTATATGAATTAAATTGAAATGGTAACTAATATACTGTGCTTGCAGTGATTTAAAGGCATAGTTCCAGGGCCGGATTAACCAATGGGCATTATGGGCACAGGCCCAGTGGCCCGTGTGCACTGGTGGGCCCCTGCGAGGGTGGGAAAAATGCTGATTTTGGAGTGTCTATTTAGGCTAAAAGCAAATAGCGCACCTCGTTGGAATAAGATAACTGAGTGATTTTTGCCCATCACCATTTGATTGATAGAGACAAAATAACAAAAGAGTGCGACACACAGCAGCATGAGTGGCGTAGCTAGTAAAGCGCATGGCAACTTGTTTTCACTCGATCATGAACCCGATTCGAATCCAGCGTCTGATGAACTCATTTTTCTCCCCCCCCTCCCCATCCACCACCACATATCCGATTTTGCCTACTCTTCATCACGAGGAAGACAAGAAGGAATCATTAATTAGTGTGTTTATTATAGAAGAATCAGATTCATTGAACTGGATTGGAGAGGTGTTATATCAAAATCATATACATTATGTAGAAGTTACACATTTAAAATACCTTTAAATATAAATTTTAGTACTGCTCCAGTGAATTTGAACAAGTATTTTAAATTCATTAATTTTCACTAGTTGTATTAGTATTTTTTTTTTTCAAAGTGTGCTTTAAATGCTTTAAAAATAAGATCAATCTCTGTAGACTAGAATTCTTAATCCGGGCCTGGATAGTTCAGAACCTCATATCTTCTTAATTAAGCACATTTTCTCCGCTCTGTTGTTAAAACAAAATGGCTAAGCTTAAAAACATTAAATAGTAATGAATATACTTAGTGATTTAAAGGGATAGTTCACCCAAAATGAAAACTGTCATTATTTACTAACATTTGTACCAAAACGGTAAGTTTTTTTAGTTGAACAGAAAATGAAGAGTTCGGAAGCAAAAATCTGTAGGTGCCATCTGCAATTTTCTTCTAGAATGAGTATTTTTCTAAGCCTCTTATATTGGTGTTCAGTTATTTCATGTTAAAGGCAATGAAAGTAACATATTCTTTGCTATAAAAGTGAAATTACTGAACCTACACATAAGTGCTTGATGCTCATTTTAGGAGAAAATTTCAGATGGCACTTAGAGGTTTTTGCATCTGAACTCTTCATATTTTGAAGCATGTTTCCAACATTCTCCAGAATATCTTCTTTTGTATTGTACAGAAAAAAAAACTGATTTGGAAACACTTGACAGTGGGTAAATGATGAGTAAATTTGGTTGAACTATATCATTAAATGAAAAGAAAACACGTAGATTTATATCACAAATTTAGTTATGTCATAAAATACAATAATAATAATAGTCTTATGAATTATTTTAATCGCTAATAGGTAATACCCCCCCCCCCTTTTTGTTTTCGTTATTTTGAGGTGCAGCATAAGCTTTCACATGAATATTTTCCCCCAGACTGTTGTGTGATTATTTATCAAGCTAACTACCTTTTCATAGAATGAAAGACGTTTGTTTGCAGCGTGACACATTTGACTGTTTATTAACTTCCACGCGGCTCGCTGCCTGCATGCTTTGCATATAATCTTCGCTGTGATCGACCTTTATGCTGATCTCCTTGTAAGTGTAAACCAGGCGGGGACAAAGACATCCAGGTTTTTGATGTAGTTTTTGATTTCAATCTAATCAGGCGAGCAGATACTGCACAGGATAGAGAGGGTACTTGTTCGGTCATGATGCTAATCAGAGCGTCCGAGGCTGTTGATTTCATTATTTCCCAAAAGAAATTGCCATTGAACGAACCAGCATAATGAAACATTTCAGTATTCCTGCAGTTTTGTATTCATTTAAAGATGCCATCGTGAATTTGATTGTTGTTCGATGTTATTTTGTTATTAATCTATCTTATTTAACATCTGATTGCTGTCAGTGCAATGAAAATAAATAATTCATTGCAGTTGCTCATTTTTTTTAAGGTAAGTGGTTGCAAACAATTTATATAGGCTGAATTTATGAAGTTAAACGTTACTTAATGTAATTTGTTTGTTTAAATTTAGCCTATATAAATTGTTTGCAACCACTTACCTTTAAAAAAAGATTAAATTCAATGGAGCATTTTTGACATTGAGGTTAGTTATAGTCTAATATACATGCCTGACCTGCTAACCAGAGCGTCTCTTTTGTCCTCATAAATAAAGGTCAGGATGTTTACATTGACCTGTTTAAGTTCCTGGGATTGATGACCTTGTATATAGTTGTAATGATTTTGTAAAACTAAATGAATATGAGATTGTTTTTTGTCTAATTATTTTTATATTGCCTAAAAAAGTGTACACAAAAAGACTAGTCTTATAATACTGAACATCCTGCCAAAATATTATCTAAAATCCAAATTTCTATCTTCAACGCTTAATTAGTTGATTCAGTTTTGAAGAGCTATTTCAGCTTGTATACACATTGTTACTGTTTTGTATTGTTCACACCGCTAATATTCTGATTTTTGTTTGGAGAATAGAGAATTCATCGGGTCATGTAGCTCAAATTGTTGTCATTACACAGATATTAAATGAAAGTCGGTTCTTCCAGGGAAAAGTAAAAGCCTGTTTTTCCTGGTGTCCACGAGCAAATGTGTGTTTGACTGATATGATGGTACAAAAAAGACGACGTGGATTGATTGTTGTTTCATTATATCTGAAAGTGACATCCTGCAGTATTTGTAAAACTTGTTGAAATATGTTGCCATTCAATCTGAATAACAGAACCTTTATCTTGTTAAAAGTTGTTAAAATGGGATTAAAAACCACATCACTTTGAACAAACAGCTAAAATTCTAATAAAAAGTGTTTACTTTGCTATTAAATCATTGATTGTCATTGATTTTTATTATTTTATGGAGTCACTCTTTTGACACAACTCAAATAAGCTCTGTCACATTTTGCAGTGTTGTGGTCAGCCAACTATTTCAAAAATTAATTTTCCCACACTCTGTATTTCCTTTTTTTTTCTTTTTTTTCTTTTTTTACAGCTTTAGTATTTTCTCAAGCCCTAAAAACACAACCGCATTAAAAAAAAAATTTAAGAAAAAACATTGTGCAACTTAAAGGCCCGGATATATTTAAAGCAAAAAAAGAAAAGAAAAAAGAACTAATTATAGAAATTATTTTTTATTTTTGAGGGTTTTCACCTTTAATAGATAGGACTAGAGAGTATTGACAGGAAAGCATTGGAAGCAGAGAGAGGGGAAGGATGGCCACAGCACGTCGAGGCGGGAATCGAACTTGGGTCGCCGTGAGCACAAGAGTGCATGTGTTGACACCAGAGTTGGGTGTAACCGTGCATTCACACATGGGCTTCAGCATCAAACCTTGACTGAGGGCGTATCTGAAGTTGGGGCTGATGCGATCGTCATAACAGCGTCAGCCAATGAAATTAGTCCGCAATCGGCTACTGTCTGAGCGGGGTGTGGAGAGGTAAGCATGATCGAACACCCAATGAGGGGGGAGAGCATATTCAGAGCCTGGTGGCTAATCGGCAGGCCAATCAGAAATGATAAATAACACCTGTTATTCTTGTGATTGGGCCGGAGAGACACCACTCTTAAGGAGAACAAAAGGAGCAGCCGGGAGATAAGAGAGCACACACACACACACACACAGCTACGGTGTTGTGGTGGCTAAAATTGCAATCACTAGAATAACAGGTGTTATTTATTATTTCTGATTGGCCTGCTGATTAGCTGCCGGGCTCTGAGCATGCTCTCCCCCCCTCATTGGGCGTTCAATCATGCTTACCTCTCCACATGGGGGATTTGCATAAAGCAATTTTGCATTTGCATAAAGCAATCTGATTGGCTGAAGCAGCGCAGATTGATCCACAATGCAGTTCAGCAAAGCCTGACGTCACCCATTCAAAGAGAATGGGAATCGTTGACGCTGACGCTCTGTGTGAATGGGGCGTAAGGCTTTCCTCTGTAACGCATACTGTATTCTAATTACATTTTTGAGGAACGCAGTAATGTAAGGAATTACATTTTAAATTTGTGTAATTTGATTACAGTTACTAAACTCAATGTAATAGCTTATTTTAAATCATGTTTTCTGCTGAATATTTGGTTGCAAACAATTTATATGGGCTGAATTCAAACAAACAATTAAGTTGAACATTACAAATAATTTTTTTTTCTTTAAATTCAGCCCATATAAATTGTTTACAACCACTTACCCTAAAAAATTAAGTCAGTCCAATGAAGCATTTTTGACATTGAGGTTAGTTACAGTCTAATATACGTGCCTGACCTGCTAATCAGAGCGTCTCTTTTGTCCTCATAAATAAAGGCATGGATGTTTACATTGCCTGTTTAAGTTCCTGGGATTGATGACCTTGTAAATCAAATGTTATTGCAAGATAAAATTAATATGAGATTTTTCTTTCTATAATTTTTGTATATTGCGTACAAACTTATGCACAAAAAAGGCTTGCTTTGCAACACTGAGCAACCTGCCAAAATAATATCTGAAATCCAAATTTCTATCT